AAAAAGGGCATTTTACTAAGTTTAAGGTCGTACCTCATCAAGATATATGGTGTTGGAACAATGAGTCGCTATGTCAAGCATGAATCTCATCACATATAATCCACAATCAATTCTATTATCTTGTTGTGGGCACTAGCATAGGAACAAATCAAATGAATCAAACGTCACATAAAACCCACAATTGTTTTAGCAATGTTTATTAAGATAATCACAATATGATGTGGCATTACCATAGGTGATTTCCATGTAGGACCCCGTGGAGCACGACCATGTATCTTCTTCATAATACTATAGGAAAGTAAATTCAAATTTGATTAGTTTGACTACTAAATGAGTTAGGTTAAGATAATCAACACTAGGTAGCTATATTTACTTTTGTAGTACAGACATCACGAGGTACTTCTTTGTTGATCGAGCTGAATCAAGGTGAAAGATTGTGTTATTAGCAGGACAAATCACCATGAGGAACCAATGAAACCTACATAAATTCACAATACACAAACAAATCAATAATTAGGGTACAACAAATAATTCAAATGTAGAAAGAATTGAATTACACATAGCTAATAAACTTGTGATTCACTTCATAATATGAATCTACAAAAATAAAAAATAAAACAAAAAATAAAAGTTAGTAACTTTGTCAAGAACTATAAAACCACCTAAAATTAAGCAACAACAACAAATTGATAATAATAATAATAATACAATGAAAGAAATAAAAAAATTATTCAAAATATATTATCCATTATACTGTTAATTCATCTTCCCTTTTTAATGTAATGTAAAAGAAACAAGAGTGTTTCACTCTGGTATCTAAACTGTGTCTGGGTTTGTTTTGGATTTCCATTTTGAACTAGCATAATTATCTTAATTGTATTTTGCTTATGATAATTTATGACTGAAATTGTTTTTATTTTCAGTACTCGAGGCATTTTGTTTATTCAAATCCAGCACAGCCTTTGGGTCCTGAACACTTGACATGGAGAATGGTTTGCTTTTACGATTCATAACCTTGTCTATTTCTTGCAAAACCTTCCCTTTGTCCTGCAAACTTTGGCTTGCTTGTTAAATTTGTACATAAAAAATCTGGCGTAATTCTGATTTAGTATAAGCACTTACTTCTAAATTTCAATTTTATGATTCACTAATATCAAGTAATTGCAGTTTTTTTTTTCAATTAACCTAATTCATGAACAATTAATCAATTTGTTGCATTCTAAAGATACACACAATTAATCAATTTCTTGCATTCTAAAGATGCATTCTCTCAACTTTTAACCCTAACAACAACAAAAAAAAAAAAATCAGAAATTCAGAAAAAATTACCGTCAAGTAATTGCAATTTCAAACGGTGGCTGTGGGATGGTGGTGCGGTGGCTGTGGCGTCAGTGCGGACAGGTGGTGGACGGACCACGCTACTGGTCAGTGGTGGAGGGAGTTCCCCCGAAAATTCGAATTTCGCCCTGTGGTGCGCGCTGCTTGCTGCTTTGCTCACTGGTGGAGGAGGTTCGGAGGGAGTGCGGAGGTAGTGGAAGGTGGTGCGGCGTCGCTGGTGGAGTGTGTGGTGGTAGGGTTTGGATGGTGGTGCGGCGTCACTGGTGGCTCGTATGTACTGGAGTTTTGCTTTGAATAAAACAGTGAAGTATATGAGGAAAGAGAAGAAGAAGCTAAAGGTCGCGTTTTATATATTCAAATATTGCCACCGGTTCAAAACCGGTGGCCTTAAGAATTATTTCCACGGGTTCGGTTTGAACCGGTGGCAATAATAAATACATTCGCGGCCATTTTTTAAACCACCGGTTTTCAAAAACCGGTGGCCTTTAAGCGGTGGCAATTTCAATTTTTCTACTAGTGCTTCAGCACAGTGAGTTCCACCTTGGAACTTAAAGCTCTCAAGGAGACAGTGCAAAAGTTAGTTGATGTTCAACCAGGTTTGGTTCAAAGGATTGAAGCTCTTGAGAAGGTATTGTCAGACTTGGTGAAAGCTTCCACAGAGCTCACCTCAGCAATGCATCAGAGCACATAAACTCTTTCCAAAGGGCAGGCTGACCTGTTGAAGAAATTGGAGGACTTAGTCATTGAAGAGGTGCCAGAGAATGATGCTGAAGAAGAGACCCAGTCCTCTGCCCCTAAAGCTTGATGTTTTATTTCTGTCTTAGCTCTAAAACTTTATCTTCTTGAACTTGGTCTGGATTGAACTTGTTTCATTTTGCTTCTTTTGGTCTGTAAACAATTAAACAGGGTATTTTCTTCTGTTTTTGATGTTCTGGAGGAACATCAGTTTGTTTATATGGATGTTGCTTGCTTCCTTTATGACTATTTGCATACTATTTCTGCCTATATGTGCTTTGTTCTATGCTTTGGACACAAACCATTACAATGGTGCTGTGTTTAGATATATATGTGCATTAATTTTGATGAAAGCCAAAAGGGGGAAAAGAAAGGCAAACTCAATTGTTGACAAGTTTCTCCATCCATCTGTAACTAAGGTATATAAGGTATATAATTTAAATTCAGTTCCTTATTATTTGATAATATTTTTACTTCTGATTTACTTGATTGTTACTTCTTTATTTTACTGAGTTTTCTTAGGTTTGTCATTCATCAAAAAGGGGGAATATTGTTGACCTTACATGTTTTGATGATGACTCAAGGAACCTAAGCAAACCTATAACAAGTTTAACTTTCGGTTTTAGCTTTGATTTATGACAGGTTTGTGCTAGGAAATTCTTGAGTGAGAAGGGAGCATGGAACAAGATCAGAGCTAGCTATGGAAGAATAAAGAAATCAATCAAGGTCGTGTTCCTTGAAGGGAACTGAAGCTCAAGAGTTGAAGCTTCAAAGGAAAGTTCCTTGGGTGAGGAACTGCAGCTTCAGAGTCGAAGCTTCTCAGAGTATCAAGGAGTCTAATGTATTTTATCTTTACTTTAGGCAACTTGTATTTGTGTTAAGTACATTACAATTGATAGGATTTAAGTGGATTTAATATTATCTGATAAAGACTTTATTTTTCCATATTTTAACTCATTTTAATTTTATTTCGAAAAATATCTTTTGAGTTAAAATATCGTGTTAGTTAAAAAGATTTTCTGTTTTAATTCTATCCTATTATTTTGGAAAATCTAATTTGGAAAATATTCTTTATAAACGGTTGTTTTACTTGGTCAAGAAAGTTGAGAGAAAATAGGAAGTAGTAAACCACTTCCTTGTAATGTGCTCAGCTTGCTGCCCAAGCATCCACGAATTGCACTTCCTTAGTTTAAGGAAGTTGTGATTAAGTGGTGATTAAGGGAACTACGATTTAACTGCCAAACTCTTTTATAAATAGCCTTAGTTTTTAGTTGGAAAAACACACTTGAGCATTACAGTCTTTTAGCTTTTGAAAAAGAGTCATATCCACTTAAATCCTTGAGTGTCTTTGTACTTAGCAGTTTAGAGTTTAATCTTTGAGTTGTATTGGGTTAGAGTTTGGGGAAACTCTAAGAGTGTTTTATTGCTTTGAGTGAAGCAAGGAGAAAGAGAGAGAGTTTGAGAGTTCGACTAATTGAGGGATCAGTTGAAGGGAGCTTAAGTTCATAGAGGAACTTGAGTTTAGAGTCTTAATTTGTAATAGGTTGTTTGCCCTATTATTATTAAGAATTGAGTTTAAAATCCCTTGTGGTCGTGGTTTTTCTTCTTGATTAGGGCCAAGAAGTTTTCCACGTAAAATCTCTCTTTGCACTTTTAGTCTTTATTTGAGTTCCTTTATAAATTCCGCAAAAATTACCCTACTTCCTCTACAATACAATTCACCCCCCCCCCTCTTGTATTGTTCATTCGAGTTAACACCTTCCTCTTGTCTACAATGGGATAATCAGTTCTAACTCGTATATGAAGTATTTTCTAACAACTTTTCTCAATGATGTGTAAAAATTGACAAACATTCAACTTGTGTTTGAATTTGTTAAAGTTTGAAAAAGAGGATAATATTGAGGATGGTAGAGAAGATCATGTTCATCAATAATTATTTTTAATATTGAATTACACAACAAATTAAATGACCACTAAAGTTGGGCATGACCCTCGAAGTGATGCTTGAATTGAGTAAGAAAAGGTGTGTTGTGTCGAGCTTGTGTCGATCTACTATATCTACATATGGCTCTACTCACATGTCGCGCCACGCTAGTGAGCCCCTTAATAACTTTTAGATATTTTGTTAATTGGTTAACAATGACTGTCATGTTCTTTTTTGGATCACATCAAATTTCAAGAATGATGATTTTTCACAGCCCATTGTCATTCCACTTGTGTCGTGCTAGACTTATAACGGGCTTATATTTGGTCTTGTTTTATAGCGTCGGGTCTAAGCATCTAGAGTGCACCCCAAGTCCCCAACCCATGCCTAGCTCACGTAGCTTAGACAAAGGTTATTGAAGGATTAAAGGAAGAGAGATTGTAAATTTGTAACTTTAGGATATACCGATATAAGTTGGGATACAAAAATGACAAGTAGTAGTCATTTGATTCATTTCAATCCTTTATTTGATTGCCTTTTAAGAACAAGTAATAATTTGGGCCAATCTTACTCTTATAAATTTTTCGTGCCTACACTTACCATTTCAAAACTAATAGGGCATCCAACACTTACTTTACCAAATTTAAAAAGTTTAAATATAACTCTTATACTCACAGGTTTCATCCCTTTATATCAATTAAAAAACCTTTTATTATAGTATTCCGTAGTAGTTTTCATCATTTTTATCCGTTTTCTTTTAGTTGCAATGTTTTCTTTTGAAGTTGTAAATATTTTGTGATGTGAATTATGAGAGTAAATTGATTTTTGTAGCGAATGCACCTACGGGCCTAGAACAGTAGAACGGTTGATCCCAGTCTTTTTATAGGAGTTTCTATGAAGATCTAGGAATTATAAACATTAGGAATTCTGCTTTAGCATATGGAAACTGCAATCAATTTTGTAAATGGAGAAATAATCATCTAAACTAGAAAGGAAGCAGATGTTACTTGAAAATAGCCGAAAACTCTCAATGCATAAATAACACAATCTTTATCATTCATTCAAAAGTACAAAGAAAACATATCTGGAGCATTTATTACATAACACAGAAATAGCACAAAAATAAAGATTTGAGAATGGTAAAAGAAACAAATGGTGTATGTGTTCTAATGAGTATGATCCGCTGTATGTTTTTTTGAATTCTAGAAATCAATTACTCGCTTCCCTTGAGCTTCTTTGTGATGGTAGCAATGTACTTCCCCTGGTGGAAAGCCTGCTGCAATTCGAGCTCTGTTGGCTGCCTTGAACCATCTCCTGCGAAAGTTCCAGCACCATAGGGGCTTCCACCCTTCACATTCTCCATCTCAAACATGCCAGCACCAAATGTGTAGCCGATTGGGACAAAGATCATTCCGTGGTGAGTTAATTGAGTGATGGCGGTCAAGCTGTTGACAAGCATCATCTAAATTAGTACGAAAGTGTATATTTTGAAAAGAATGATAAACAATGTCATGACACAATAGGGGACTTACGCAGTGGTTTCTTGTCCACCACCTTGGGATCCAGTGCTAAAGAATAGTCCAGCAGGCTTTCCAGCAAGTTCCTGAGTCCTCCAAAGACCCCCGGTTGCATCGAGGAAGGCCTTAAATTGGGCAGCCATCATTCCGAATCTTGTAGGGAAGCCAAATATAAAGCCATCAGCTTCAGGTAGCTCACTTGGAGAAATTATTGGAGCATCGCTCTTTGCTGGTGCACTCATCTTACCAAGTACCTCATCTGACAGTATCTCAGGTACCTGTTTCATACATCTCAGCAAAGTCAAATACACGTAACTACAGATGGGGCTAGCAAGATAGGAAAGCGTAAAAGCAGCCCAGCTTGACTTAGGAATGTCTGACTGCCACAGTAGAAGGTAAGTGAGCGAATAAGGTAGGACTAATGACCTACACGCCGTGATATTAGCAGGAAGGTAATAAGCTAGAAGGTTTACAACAAGATGGTAATTAACTTCAGTTAATTAGAAGAAAACAATGACAAACCAGTGGAGAAGTTAGACCGAGGCAATAATATTGGAAGCTTCATCAGCAATAGGAATATACAAAATGAGCGATATTGCAAGAAAGAGAATACATCTAAGTAACTCCAGAACCTGTATCACCACCTCACACAGACACAGCAATAAACTTTACATGATTGTGTCTCCGTCAAATCAGATTCATTATATTAGAGTCGCCACTGATTATGTAGAACACTCTCAACACTACAGCTACTGACTACTGATGATGGTTTGGGAGTACTATACAGGAAATAATTTCAGTGTATAGCAATCAAATAATGCTTCTGAAAACAAGAACTGTAAGAAACCTTTTCTTTCCAAAACTTGGATAACTTGTACTCCGTAATAAATAGCTAGAAGAGTTTCACTACATGATCTATACTAGTCCAGCTATTTCAAAAGACGGTTCAGCTAAAATTAGCCAGTTTCACTTGCATTTTGCACCAGTCAAACAAAATTGAAGAAGGTTAACAAGAACATCTGATGTTTACCTGCCAGAGTTTTGCATCTACACCTTCTACTGATGCAGCTCCTTTTTGGATCTCCTCTGCTAGCTTGTGTACGTGTCCGTACATAGAATAATATCTGTAAACCACATAGAACTTATGTTAACAACCTCAAACTCTCAAAATACTTTCACAAGACAAATCGAGGCAATAACAGTCTAATGTTAATGACACATGCTAATTTCAAATCTTTTGGTCAATTAACGCGGTGATTAGTCTGTTATCCAAACATGTAAGGAGTATAAGTCTAAATGTTAATGAAAGAAACAGGGTCATGAAGTCAATAGATTTCTAATCCAAATTCCAGGTGAATACATTTTTTTTATACATCAGGTCAAACCTTTGACTCTTAAATCAATAGATTTCAAATCCAAATCTGGTTTTTGCCAACTACAACTGATATGTAATCATTAAAACTGATATTTTCTTATTTTTGTCAAATTTAGTCAGTTATTTTACTAAAACTGATTTCCAAAATAGATCGCACAAATCATTAATTGGTTAATCCAAAAAGTCAAAAGTTAATCATAATCTGTGCATGAATGCATATACGAGTATATGACAAAATAATTGAAATATACAACGAACCTTAAAGATTATAAATAGGAAAATGATAAATGCAGTCGTCTTAGGATTGCATTACTTGCACATAAAAAGATCATCAAGGAATAACTAAGAACCATAGCTTTTTTGGTGTTTAAAGAGCCACAAGGGCGGGGGTGAGAATCGATCTCAGGATCTCCTGGAATCGGGAGGGAAGCTCTAACAACTTGAGCTATCCCTCACTCTCAAGAACTATAGCTTTAATAATACCAATCAGTGAGTGATTTTTTCATATATTTTCAAACTTTACTCCCTCCGTCCCTAAATTACATTCTAAATGAGAGAAATAGGAATATAATTTAGGGACGAAGGGAATACCATTTTATGTACTCCTATGTGATATACTCGTTCCATACAATATTAAGCATAATCAAGAGTTAGTAGTTCTAATTTACAAGTTGCTTTGTCATCCATTTCTAAATTAATATACTCTATACAATATTGGAAAATATATACATATACGAAGTATATTTTATTTTCCTATGTCCGGTGGTATGGGTGGTATTAATCATTACCAAAAAATAACATTACACATTTGTAAGGCAATAATTGAGCATATTAAATTCTTTGTGAAATAAACTTCTGAAAGTACATCTCAGATCTCCAAATACCAAAGATTCAAAGAACTAAAATTCACCTCAATCGAAATTACTAGCACCATTTAACACTAAGAAAAATAATGTGTACTTGTATACCAAGTATATCAAGTCTCTAATACGTTCATCATTTAGACTTTTACCATACTCATACAATCACATTTGACCATACTTGGTGAATAAAATACTCCATATAAAGAAAACGTGGAATCTTGTAGATTCAGCTCCCAATTTGAAATATTAGGAAGCTACTCAAATTCAAATGGACCGGATGTGTGTTTTTGACATAAAATACAAGGTTCTCTTAGGGCCTGTTTATATTTACTCAACTGAGCTGAACCTGAACTGAACTGAAAAATTAAAATGCATAAAACTAAACTGAACTGATTAGATCTGAACTGAACTGATTGGAGCTGAACTGAACTGAAAATAAGTAAATATGAACAGGTCCTTAGACTCTTAGTGAAATAGTATTTTCATAAATAAACCAATAATTTTATCCAATCACAATCAAATGTAGAGCCCACAACAGAGAAACCAGAGTAAGCTCGTCGTGTTTTAACGTTTATAAAATTTATACTATTATGACAAAAGTTAATATATATTATCTTCGTTTTTTTTAATTAAACAATTTTACACTATTCACAAACTATACTTTGATTAACTTTTATGATTTATACAAAGTATATTTTTTTAATATTTTTTTTTTTATATAATTTTACAATGTCAATAATTAGAGGTATTAAACGTTCAAATAGTGTATAACATACTCCATAGATAGAATTTAAAAAAAAAAAAAAAAAAAAGTTACTTCATATATTCTAGACTAAACTCCTAAGTTAGGTAGGTAGAGATTTTATAAGGAGATAAAAGTGGGGTTTAAATATTTTAACTAAGATAAAGTAAAGAATATGCATAGTGGCCTAGTGGGTGGGTCAAACTTCATAAAAATGCTAACAGAATAGAAATTCATAGAACGGCCCAAAATAGAAAATACTGTAAAAACTACAGTAGTAAAACTTTATGAAATACAAACAGATCAAAATGGAAAGTGAGTAGAACTTCATTACGATCATCTCGATCGTTGACAAAAACAATCAAAGCAAACAAATAGCATTTCAATAAAACATAAAATTCATTAATCAAAACAACAACAAAAATAATATTAAAAAAGAGGAGAGTAAAAGAGAATCATACACAATGTAAACTTTGGTTGCCATTGAAAAAGAATGAATTGACTCGGAGTTTCTCTGTCTAAAAATTTAGTTAAAAAAATGAATGAATTTGTGAAGTGATTGAAATGAGATGCGTTGACGAGAAGGAAAGGGAAAGTGGGTGGGATATTTATAGTAGGAGTAGCCCACTTTCAATTACCAATTAATTGGAATTTGGTAATTAAATGATTTTGGGTGATTAGTTGCTGTAATTAGAGATTTAATCCATAAACGACGCCGTCTTGAGGGGGTAGCTAGCAGCTGGCTTGTTTTGATTTGGATCTTTGAAAGTTTTTGAATGATGCCATCACTCTGTCACGCTTATCCATCATCATGTCATTCACCGTCACTTCTCTTCCAAGATATAAATTTACATTATTACCTTATTGGTATCACATTATAATTAATACGGAGTAATACTATGCATAAAAAATATACTCTCTCCGTCTCAATTTATAGGTTTTTTTAGGGTTTTTTTTTTTTTTTTTTTTTATACGGGTGTCTCAATTTATAGTTTATGTTTGTGTTTTTTTCACTTATTTAACAGATGAGAAAAAAGAAAGTGGATGAACTACATTAAAAAGGAAAAACTATAATTATAGACAAGAGTTAGAGAGATTAAGTGGAAAAAAATACAAGGTAAGTGGAAATACAAAGGCAATTTAGAAAGTTTAATAGATAGGAAATTGCTAACAACATTACAACCTTTGGCCTATACTTTTCTGGAAAAAGATATTTGCAGCCTTAACAGCTGCATATAAGAAGCTAAAAGTGAAAAAAAATAGAGAATAAATAAACATTTATTACACCGATAAACTCTTGAATTGTCGATAAATTCCCAATTTAATTCTAAAAAAGAATTTAAAGTATATTAAATGCTTATATGAAGTCTTTAGGGCTGCATATAGCTTTACCCTTCTTTTTTAATAATACAACTTTTTGATTATTTTGTAATAATACAACCTTTAAGGGGGGTTCATTTTAAACAAGACAAAAATCGAATTTTCAATGGATTTTGAGGTGGTAGAAGGGGAAGGGATATTCCCCTCGTCCCCATCCCCACCACCAAAAACTCATTCCTTCCCTTTTTTAATCTCAAAATCCACCGAATATTCGATTTGTCTTTTAAATGAAAAAGCCCTAAAGATTGTATTATTACAAAATAATCCAAAGTTTGTATTATTAAAAAAGAATGGCCCAAAAGTTGTATTTTTTTTTACAATTTTTCCTAATAAATAAAATTTAAAAAAAAATTAGGGTATTATAGACTTTATATATTATCCATATATAGATACATGGAAATGTTTTGGGTACTCAAAATAGGATAATATATAATATATATTAATATGGTATAGAGGGAGTTTATATCATTTATATCTTTTATTATTATAAGTTTATTACATTTGAAATTTTATGCTATATAAGTACTCCGTATATATTAATATACTTCTTCTGTATTTTTTTTTATTGCACCATGATTGATTTAACGCTTGTCAATGCATTTTATTTTTATTTTTTTTGAAAGAATTGTCAATGCATTATTTTGGTTATTTGAAAAGTACATTTCATGACAAATCTAGTTATGTTTTTTCTTACAGATTAATCGCAAAAGACAACTAAAAAAGATTATGCGAATAGTATAAAAGTTCAGCTGCAATAAAGAAAAACAGAGAAAGTATATATAAATATTATCAAATTCTAGAAGATTATGAGTTCAAGTCTAAGATATAGAATATATTTTACGTTTTTATCACTTTTTAATGTCAGGCAAAATCATGGAGTATAAAAAAAGTAGGAAAAATTTACACATATTTGGTCAATTCACATTTTCTTAATTTCTTTTGGGAAATTCTCTTTAGTAATCACGAACTTTTATTATTTCTCAATGGTAAACTGTGAATTTTTTTATTATCAATGGTAATCACAAATTAATATTACAAAGCCAATGATAACATTAATGATAATAAAATGATTAACTAGGGTTAATCTTGGTTAAGTAACACTAAATTTACATTAGTACCTCCAAATGATTTAAAAAAAACAATAAAAATCCAAACCCCGGCCACCCAGCAACCGCCAGCCCCCTCCCATTGTCGGCGCTCAGCTCGGCCAGGGTGGAGGTGTCTCAAACCACTCCCTCGCCGGAGACCCCCACCGATACTGCAATCCCACCCGAAACCGTGTTTCCAACCCCTGTTCCCAACCCACCCTCTCTCTCCTCTCATCACACACCGAAACCGATTCTCGCATTACCCCTTTTCAAATTTTTTTTTTCCTGTTATTCTTACTCCATTTCTGAATTTACTTACAATTAATTTAGAGCTTTATTTAAATAAATTTTATGGGGGATGTTATGTTTTGTGTTTGTGGATTAGAGGTTAATTAAACCAATTCAACAACAACAACAACAACAGCAGCAGGTCAACGGCAGCAATTTAGTATGAATAACTTCTTCAACCCTTGAATTTGAGTGTGGGTGAGGTTGCATTGCATTTCGAAGGGAGAGGGGTATGGATTTCAGTTGTTTTCGAGGGAGGTGGTGGGTTTTTTCTGGGTTTTGACGGGGAAAATGGTACGGTGAGGTAGGGGCGGGGAAGTGAGGTGGATAGCGGCGAGGTGCAAGGAAGGGAGGTGGGAGCGGCGGGGTGCAGGGATGGGAGTTGGCAGCCGTGCAAGTGGCTGGAAAGGGAGGTGCAGTGGGGAGAAAGAAGAAAGAATTGGTTGGGGATAAGTGTGTCTTTTTACAGTCGAACTGTTAAACCATGATTAAGAATTAACAGTTGTTTAATTTAAGTTACCATTGACTTAGTAATATTAATTTATGATTACCATTGATAATCAAAAGTTTCAGATTTTACCACTGAGAAAAAATAAAAGTTCGTGATTAACAGAGAGAATTTCCCTTTTTCTTTTCAACACTACGTTTTTTTAGTGGTTTACAATTTACATGTATAATTCAAATAAATTAATTTTTCTTTAGCTTATATTTGAACCGATATCAATGGCATCTTATTCTCAAAAATATTGTCCACATTAAATCAATGTTAGAAGATTCTTTAATTTTTGTAAGAAAATCCAGAATAAAGTAGAAGTGTAAGGACTTGTGTACTTGATTCACTTATATGAATGAACTTGTTAAATCTTATTTGTGATAGAGACAAAGTTATAATATAAGTATTTTGTATTTACTCAAATTTGTCACATATAAAAATTCTCACTTTGTTGTTCAATTGTAGTCTATAATTGATGAGCTAGTAGTAACATGAAGACGTTTACATATGATCATGATTTGAATTTTTTTTTTTGACTAAATCATGATTTGAATATGAATATTGAATATGAATAGTTTTTTTGACATCAGCATGATCATAATATTACGATCAGTCGACCATAACAATACTAATGCAAAATTGCAAATATGTAATAGATATCTATCGCATTTAAATTCATGACTAAATACTTGTACAAAGATATTTGGTGTGAAGTTGTGAACGCGATTGTGATACTATCCAAGTATTCAATATATTTCCTATGTACATATATCATAAAATAAATGCGAAATATTTTCATTTTAGATGTAAACTAATTGAGTTGATAAAATTTTGTATGATAATACTCTTACCGAATCTCATCCACATTATTATTCTCAATATCCGTGGAAGAAAAGTAACTTCTAATCATCAAGAAATACCTATCTCATAGGGTCATGTAGACAAAGCTTGCAGTTAGATAATTAAGGTGTAGGTCATCCATAATTAAACATGTTATAATGTGTATAATGTGTTACATCGGCCAATATGTCAGGCATTGTCACGACCATCGTTAAAAAAAGGGGGAAAGTCCACAATACAAGTAATTCAAGTCCCAATTGGCGGAATTATTTTTTGTATCTTTTGCTTTTGTTGTTTTTCTCATTTTCAATTCATGAGTGCCTCTTACCTCATAATTGGATTATATGTTTGGTAGAAGACATGGACACGAGACAATTAGCTAGTCATACATAACATAGCCTATTTGTGTAGATTTTTGTAGAATCGCGTTCGGTTTGGGGTCTACTAAAATGGGTAATAAAATTGACAAATTGAAAAAATAAAGGGTCAAATATGATTGAATTTAGGTGCATGACCAATGTAAGATACGTAAATAAACTAAAATATAAATGAAAAAAATATAAAAATAAAAGGAGTATGAAGCGAGATTTTTAGATAAAAATTAATTAGATAATTTGATCAAGATGTACAATTCAGGGTACATATAGACATATGGTTGTTCAAAGTTTATGAACACAGTACAATTGTTTTTATCTCTTACTTCGATGGCAAACGTGAATATGTCATTCAAAATCAGAATCACAACTATGGTTATTATACACATATAAATCAATATATAATTTTGATCGGGAATCTATCTATAGATTTTCATTTGTGACACTAATTGATTTCATTCCTCAATTGTAGATTGAACAATTGAGCATAGAATGAGGATTATATAAATAACATAAATTACATGAATGTGCATGAAAGAACTTTGTAGAATTTATTATACGTATAAAAAATTAAAAAGAAACCATTTGGATCAAAATTATTAATATTTTCAATGGCATAGTGGATTAGTGGGATCTAAGATTCAATGAATCATGGCCTTTTTTGTTTGGAGCTAGGAAGGTGTGGGGGGACAATTTAATTTTGATATCCTATATTCTTATGTTATAGTACTAATTATAATATACCCACTACTTTGGACTCCTAAGTACGATGCATTGATAACACAAGTACATCAGGGTATTATAAAAGAGACATGCATTACCGTTCTTCTAGATCTTGAACACGAGTTTAGAAATATTCATATTGAACGTGATGATATCTTAGTCATCAACTGTTAAAGGCCGTGCCAATGGTTATATGCTCAATATCATTGTAGATTGGATATATTTATAGAGACATCTTCTCCCTTCTCAGCAATTTAGATAATAATAACATACATTCCCCGTATCTATCACCAGCTAGATTAGGCAATGGATTGCTGATGTTAGTCATTTAATTCGTCTTTTCTTATGATGCATTAGGAATTTTTTGAGGTTTGTTTTCCGATTTCTTAATTACCTTTGTACCAAAAAAAAAAAAAAAGACT